AGCAAGTCCCTGGGTACCAACTTCTGTCTAAGGGTTTCATTACTGTGAAGAGACACCATGACCACAGGAACTCTCATAAAAGAAAACATCTAACCGGGGCTGGTTTATAGTTCAGAGGTTTAGTCCATTGTCACCATGGCAGGAAATATGATGGCATGCAGGCAGACATGGTCCTGGAGAGGTAGCTGAGAGCTCTACATCCAGATCAGCAGGCAGCTGGAAGAGAGTGCCACACTGGACCTGGTGTGAGCTTTTGAGACCTCTAAGCCCGCCCTCAGTGACACACTTCCTCCAACAAGACCACACCTGCTCCAACAAAGCCATACCTCCTAATAGTGCCACTCCCTGTGGGCCTACAGTGGCCATTTTCATTCAGACAACCACACTACCATAGACTTTCTGTGAAAGATTGTCTGGAGTGTCCCCCATCAGCTTCCAGAGTTTCAAAGCAGCACTCAAAAGTAGAGCAGGTCTACGAAAAAGAAAAGGAAATAAAATACACTTAAGAAGCTAGGCACAGGCATGATGGCACACACCTATGATTCCAACACTCAGGAGGTTAAGGTCAAGGAGTTCAAGGTCATGTTAATCTACATGGCAAGTGGGAAGCTAGCCAGACCCTGTATCAGTAATAAGATGTGTGGCAAAGCAAATAAAGCCCTTCTGGAAAAATGAACACACAGATCCCATCTACAGGGAAAACAAAAGGCAAGTTCAAAATAAACCCTTTTTTCCTGTTCCAGGTATCATTCCAAAGCAAAGGAGATCATGGTCTGTTAGTTGATGATATTCCAAGGGCCGTGGGAGAGATCAGGACCAACCCTACCTCGGTGTCAAGCTACCCTAGGAAAAGAAGGATGCTGAGTTAAAGGAAAACACAAGACAGATATGCTGCCCACAAGCTACAGAGAAACCTGGTGTGGCTGAGACTTGCCTAACGGAGTCACGGACAGAACAAGGAAGATGAACAGGCAGAAGAGGAAGTTGATTTTGGCGACATGTTTTTATTTTCTGTAAAATACGGACTCTCCTTGTATATAATGTATCCCTTTTGGAGAAAAAAAAAATGTAAGGCTGTCAGGAACACATGTATTAGTAGCTTTTCTGTTGCTGTGGTAAAACCCCATGACCAAAGGCAACTTAAGAGAGTTTATCCCAGCTTACTATTCCAGAGAGGTAAGAGTCCATCATGGTGGGGACATGGCTGCAAGCAGCAGGCCAGGAGGCAGGAGCAGGGAGCTGAGAGGTCACATCTTTAACCACCAGCACAAAGCAGAGTGAAACTGAAGCCGGGTAAGGTTTACTCACAGCTCACCCCCAGGGAGGAATTTCCTTCAGGAGGGCTGCATCTTCCCATAACCTCTCCAATCACCACCACCACCAACTGGGGACGAAGTATTCAAATGCCTGAGCCTATGGGGGACATTTCTCATTCAAAACACACCAATGAATGTGTCTTTCCATACTCGGTCCTGATAGTCCAGTCAACAGCCGCCAACTTCGATGTCCAGTGTAGGGACAGAAACCTGTTGCACAAACCCTAATTGATCTCCAAGGTGACCTTGAACTCACAGAGATCCGTCTGCCTCTGCCTCCCAAGTGCTGGGATTAAAGGTGTGTGCCACCACTGCCTGGCCTCTAATGATTGGCTTAGCTCTGCACTCTGATCATCAGGCAGGCTTTATTTGTTAGATCACAAACAAAATATCAGCACATAAACCTCATGAAGTTTCCAGCAGGCTCCTGTCCATGCACAGCAGTGTCACCATCAATCATCTCTGACAAAGCTTCCATGGAGTAATCATTCTGCGACTTGAACAACACCTTGTAATCATCCAAAATAAAAGTGGCAACTGGGGCTGGAGAGATGGTTCAGAGGTTAAGAACACTGGCTGCTCTTCCAGAGTGCCCTCTTCTGGCCTGCAGGCATACATGCAGGAGAAACACTGTATACATAATAAACAAACAAACAAACAAATAAAGTCTTTTAAAAAAAAAAGTGGCAACTGTTTTGATGACATTCTAAACCACTGGTTCTCAACTTGTGGGTCACAACCCCTTTGGGGATTAGGTGACCCTTTCATGGGGGTTGCTTAAGACTACTGGAAAAAACAGATATTTACATTATGATTCATAACAGAAACAAAATTAGTTATGAAGTAGCAATGAAAATAATTTAATGTTTGGGGTCACCACAATGTGAAAAACTGTATTAAAGGGTAACAGCATTAAGAAGGTTGAGAACCAATGTTCTAGACAGCTTGGCATTTTTTTTTTTTTTTTTTTTTTT